TGCTGATTCAGACCAGATTACTTTTTCACTGGAGGAAGCAATATTATGGATTATGGACTCACATTATAGCCGGAAGCAACAGTTTGAAGTTAAAACATATTAATGACAAATTTGAAGCTTTTCGCTTCATAAGACATTAACTGATGGACTGGAGTGGTGTGGATTACTTGTGGATTATTGTGATGTTTTAATCAGCTGTTTGGACTCTCATTCTGACGGCACCCATTCACTGTAGTGATGTAATGTCAAATTTGAATAGATTGTCAGCAAATTTTCGTCTTTGGGAGAGCTACTCCTTTAATCCCATTACAAGAGCATTTTAAACTCTAGGTTAAGAAATGTTTCACAATGATATTTTTCAAGGCTTATGAAGCCATTCTTCAGAGTAACAGCAGTGCAAACCCAAATCACAGCGTGCAAGTTTCTGTAAATGTGCACAGTGTATCAATATATTAAATGAGGTTTGCATTGTTTAGTTTGTAAATAATTTTCTGTTCCTGAACAATTTGCTGTAACATTTTAGCATCACATTGTAAACATTTAGCAATGCAATGCTAAAATGTTACAGCAACGTGTTCACGACGCTGCACACTGTGATCATTCTTGCAGGCATTTGAAGGAAATACATTTCGTTGTGTTGCGTCTTGTTTCTGTTGTGTTGTGGAGATTTCATTGTGTTGTGCACTGCTGGGCCACCGTAGTAACCAAACAGTTGACGGCAGCCATTGACTTTCATAGTATGGAAAAAAAAAAATATTATGGAAGTCAATGGCTACCGTCAACTGTTTGGTTACCAGCATTCTTCAGAATATCTTTTTTGAGTGTTTAACAGAGGAAAGAATGGTTTGTAACAAATGGAGGGCGAGTAAATAATGACAGAATTTCATTTTTGGGTGAACTATCCCTTTAAACTCCAAAGCTAAAAAACAAACATGCAAAAATCACTATTTTGGAAAGTGGAAGTAAACTGGATGTGACTGCAGTGGTTTTTGTTGCGGAGGTATGTAGTGAAGGTGGGCCTGTCGGGTCAGCGGGGTCTCCGGAGAGATCGCTTCTATCTGAACTTTATCGGCTGAAACATCTGTTGTAATTTCTGTCAAATTAAACTTTTATTACCTGATCATTAAAGTCCTGGCGATGGAAAAAACAGATGTCGGCGCTGCTCTTAGGACCGCTGTGTTTTACGGTGTTGGTGAAAATTGAACCAAAGGGAGGCCGCCCCTCCACCTCCATTATAAAATTAAGGGGGAAATGATTTCCACATTCCACGGACAAGAGGGCCACTGGTGGGGCGCTGAGAGACGAGCGGTCGGTGTGTGACGGGTTAGCTGAACTACTCACAGAACCACCACAGACCGAGAGTTTATTAGTGCTGGGAAGGGCTCTACTGTGTTTATTGGTGCCGCACCGAGACTCGAGTACATTAAAAGAAATCTGCTTTATGACCGACTGCAGTCTTGTGCAAAACCCACCGTCATGATGCTAGGGGGTTGCTATGTGGTTGCTAAAGTGTTCTGGGTGGATTGTAGTATGTTGCTAGGCAGTTTCGAGGTTGTTCTGGGTGGTTGCTAAGACACAGAAATGTGGTTACTATAGTATTGTGTTTAGCGGTTGCTAGGGTGTTGCTATGTGGTTGCTAAAGTGTTCTGGGTGGATTGTAGCATGTTGTTAGGCAGTTCTGAGGTTGTTCTGGGTGGTTGCTAAGACACTGCAACACAGTTGCTATAGTATTTTGTTTTGCAGTTGCTAGGGTGCTGCTATGTGGTTGCTAAAGTGTTCTGGGTGGATTGTAGCATGTTGCCTGGCAGTATAATGGTTGTTCTGGATGGTTGCTAAGACATTGCAATGCAATTGCTTTAGTATTTAGTTTTGCAGTTGCTAGGGTGTTGCTATATGGTTGCTAAGGTGTTCTGGGTGGATTGTAGCATGTTGCTAGGCAGTTTAAAGGTTTTTATGGGTGGTTGCTAAGACATTGCAATGCAATTGCTACAGTATTTAGTTATGCAGTTGCTAGAGTGTTGCTATGTGGTTGCTAAGGCATTGTGAGTAGTTTTTAACAAATTGTTATGCAGTTTCTAGGTTGTTCTGAGTGGTTGCTAAGACATTGCAATGCGGTTGCTATAGTATTTTGTTATGCAGTTTCTTGGGTGTTGCTATGTAGTTGCTTAGGTGTTCTGGGTGAATTGTAACATGTTGCTATGTAATTTCTAGGCTGCGTAGACATTGTACTGTGCTTGCTTTGGTGTCCTAAGTATTTTGTTAAGCATTGCTATGCTAGGGTATTGCTATGCGGTTGCTAAGGTCTTCTGAGTGGATTGTAGTTTGTTGCTGTCTGGTTGCCGGGGTGTTGCTATGCAGTTTTTATGGTCTCCTAAGAGGCTGTTTGTCCAGTTGCTATGCGGTTTCAAATGTGTTCTAAGTGGTTTTTAGCATGTTGTTATGCAGTTGCTAGGGCATTGCTATGTGGCTGCTGCTGTTCTGAGTGTTTTTTTTTTTTTACCATGTTCCTATGTGGTCTCTAAGATTGCTAAGGTCTTGCTGTGGTTGCTAAGACTGCTAAAGTTTGCTAAGGTCTTCTGAGTGGTTTGTTACTATGCGGTTGCTAGGTTGGTGCTATGCAGTTGCCAAGGTGTGCTAAGAGGTTGTTGGTGCATTTCTATGTGTTTAGTTGTTCAGTGTAGTTTTAAGCAAGTGGTTGCTAGGGTGTAGTGAGTGGTTGGGATTTGTACAGTGTGTGGTGCCTAAGGTGTTCTGAGTCTTTTTTAGGATGTTAGGGCATTTCCAGGCAGTTGCTAAGGTGTTCCAGTTGCTAAGTGGCTGTCTCAAAAGTCGAAAGTGTCCTCAAGGTGAAAATCATCTGGAAACGAGGTGAAAGAGTCACATATTGGTAAAGTAACAGCACGATTACTGTATGTCTGGAGTACAAACGCTACAGGACGACGCAAACACTAAACTTTATCGCTTAGTGTTAAAGATTTCATTAAAATATGAGCAGTTGAAATGTGATGCTCAGTTTTTCCCCTAAATATATTCACTACCGCATCGTGGTTTTAATATTAGTATTGGCATCAGCTGAATGCAGACTTAAATAGAAACGAGCTTCATCTCTTTTGGGGAATATTTACATGATGTTTTGGAAATGGGTTCTAGTTCTTTGCTCGTGAGGGATGGTAGACAGAACTGAATTGAGAGGAAACTCTCCCTGATCTCTTGCTGTTCACAGCGTGTTTGACCGGCTCAACAAAACTCCAAGAGAGAAATAAAGATAAAGACAATGGCTGCTTTTATTTTCTTCTTTAGCTGCACATTCCACAGAAAGCGTGGAGATCGGCCACCCTCCTCGCAAAATGAATCACGGCCAGACAAATTCGTTTCTGGGTTACTTAACTACAGTCATAGGTAAGGTTACCAGATTTTTCCTCATCCGCGCTCTCGCTCTCCTGCATTCAGACCCTTTCTACCTTTCTGTCTCGGCAGCCAGACTGTTGCCATCTCTGGAAATAAATCAAATCCACTAGCATATCACACACACATCTGAATCACTGCTTATTGTAACCAGATGATGGTCACTGTTGTAATGTTTCTTTTAACATTAACAAAGTGTGAACTTGATTTGACCCCCAGATGTAGAGTGTTGCTACAACTACATGCACCACAATCTGATATCTGATGTCTTTCATTTTAATTGCAATAATAGACAGACCAGGGCTAGTTGTCACACTTTTTATGTCAGTTTATTTTTGAAACCCACAGACACAAAACTTAAACTCTTAACTGCAAAAAAGCTATTGAACAGTTCAGACACAAAATATCACTAACTAGTAAGTGTTTGAACCCAGCATAGACAACCACTGATTGTTAAAACCAGCATTTGTACAATTAGACATTTGATTCAAGGTGCTTGTGACAACTTCCTGTGTGACAACTAGCCCCCGTCTCCCATTTGTATTTTGAGATGCTTCAATCAAACATCAGCTTTGTGAGAACTGCTGAGAGAATAAACGTACGACACATAACAACACAAGCTTTAAGGCATTTGCTGTTTGAGACTCTCACACAAATCTCTTATCAGATTATTTACAAGCCTTGTAAACTAGTTCAGACTCACCTCACAAATCTGGTATGTACTGGGAAACTCGTCAGTAAAAGAAAGAGGAAATGTCATTAACAACTTGATTAGACTGAATATTTTGTTTGCTTCACCTATTGTTTACCTAACATAATAACTGCAACAAAGTTAATACATTTTTTTTAATCAATTTTCTTAAAAACACACAACATCTTATGGAAGCCTGTATCCTCCAGGGAATAAAATAATTTTAAAAAGGTAATTAAATTAATTGGTTATTAATTTATAAAGAAATGTCTTTATAAACACAGAATTGCGTGAGGTATAAAATCAGAATTCTACATTTTTTGTCAAATTCAGAGTTTATATCTTCCAATTCTGACTTTTTATTCATGCAACATCCACATGTAGGTTAGGTTCCAATGACAATATATATTTTATATAGAATGCAATTTTTAATTGAGAGTCACTATCAAATTTTGTGTTTCATAATGAAATACAAAATCAAGTTATATTTACATTCAAGTATGCCTATGATGAACATGAATGAGTATATAATGAAACACCACTACCCTTCTAATGCAAATGAAAATGAAATGTACACACATACTGTAATACCTGAGGACATTCCTGTTGATAACGATATGATGATGATTTATCCTTCTATCTATCCTTTAACCGCTTTTGAAATTATACTTTGAAAACAAACTGTCACTGATTTTCAAAGGAAACTAGCTTTACTCCTCATAATAAAAGGGAATGTATTTGTACATTTTTAAAACTTAGCATAGGCATCCATAGATAAATGAGCGTGCGCCTGCACACAGAGCAGGATGGTCATTGTGGTGGAGCTACACGCGCGCGTTGAGGACTGGAGCAGTAGGAGGAGGAACTTCAGGTCGCTCATTTATTGAACGTTTCTTCACATTAGTGCGCACTCGAGTGCGCCACACACCACACACTCAGGGAGCGAGACACACGCGGCAGAGCTCTCGATCACAGCGCGCGCAGCCGGATCGTTCCAAATTTCAAAATTCGAATGTAACGCAGCGGCGGGATGCGACATTATATCCGTCTGCCGGCGCTTTGATCAACGCACTACCCGCAGGATGGAGAGGAAACTTGGCTGAACTTACAGCTGATTTTTCATTTGCTTTACTTCAGACATGGTGAGTGCATCATTTCCTCACTGATCTTGTCTTACGACCCGCTAATATTTCCTGTCTTTATAATATAATGCATTATTTATCCTTCATACTGTGAGTTATGTCGTTAGAAAATCTCTTAAAACGAGGAAAGTGCAGGAGGACGCGTTTGTTAACATTTTGAGGAGGTTTAAAGGATGGTTAAAGATGCAGATATCTAAATAAAAAATAAAAAAAAGTTTAATTTAGGAACAAAATTGTGTTATAGTGGTATGTCATGGGAGATGCTTTTTATTCTTTTCCCTTCCTTGTGCATTAAAAGAAACCTAAACACTGCTCTGAAGAACCAATAAAGAAAAATCACTATTTTTTAGAACCATATAGAAATTCACGAACCCTGTAACCCTCTTTTTAAAAGAGTGCAGATAAAATAAAACAAGGCCTACTGTATACAGTGCATTGAGTGTTTCTGTTTCATGTAAGACACATTTTTATTATTGTTTGTATTGGTATTACATTTTGCATAACACTTCAATCAAACAATATAAAAATGCCTAAGTTTAATCATGCTATAGTTTGAACTGAATTGAAGATTATAGTTAAGATTATTCAGTTCATACTCTTAAAAATGAAGATGAGGCTATTGAATAGTTACTAGCTTCAGAACTTTCTGCTATACAAAGAACTATATTTGTCAATCTAGGGTAAAATCAATTTAATAGATAGAAGAAAAAAAATCTGGATGTATCATTGCAGGTTCTTCAGATGCGTTTTTTTTTTTGCGTACTGGATTCCAAACACAAAGTAATAATAATAATTTGCCAGTCATAGTTTAGACAAATGTAATAAACAAAACATTTTATGCAAACAGAATTAGAAGTACTATAATTTGAATACAGCTAGAATCAAAGATTTATTTGAAAGTCATTTAGTTGTTAAGTGAAATATTAGTGCTCCAAATCAGGTAGATACCTATTTTGTATTTGTAATAATTTGTATTAATGTAGTACCTATTTTTAGACTGAGACTGAAGCATCACACTGACCAAATGCACAAAAGGAAAAAAATGACGATCTTACGCTATGCAGACTTAAAATATTATAAATGATTGTCTTTTGGGGCCTTTTTCCATCAAAACTAAGGTGAAATGTAAAAGTTTTTTTTTTTGGCTTATATCATGGGAAGCTCAGCATGATTAAAATGCTAACATGATTTGAACTAATTCTTTTGGGTTAAAATGCTGTGAAATATTTGTTCAGATCACTACCCGACCTTTAAACTGCAGTAGTTTTTGACGGGAAAAGGCCCCTTCTATTATAAGAAAATTTAATTAGTGCTATTCAGAATCATTTTCCTAATAGTGTAGAAGGTCTTTGAACAGAATACTTTCTGTTATCATTCTTCATTTAATTTATCTACATTGCTTCACTCAGTACAATCACACTTGGTAATGATTTTTATTCTCATGTCTTAGTTTATGCATACGTGTCTATTCACACGAGCAGTTTTCTTTTATGAAATTTGGCTGGTTGAACGAAATCAATGCCGGATTTCACAGAGCTGGACGATTACTCTGAAATCGCTGAAGCGATGTTTAAAGTCAGGAAGCTAATAAGGTAATTTTAGGGTGCCTTGCTAAGCATTTTTCAAAGAGAAGCATTCATCGTCCTTGAGAAGCTCTCACAACCCCCTGCTCAATACATTCACCGCTTTGTTTCATGAGACGCAGAGACGCAGGTCACTGTTGCACAATTCCAAATTATTAACAACCCAGGTCCACAGAAGAGATCAGGAATCAGACACTGAGATCCAAAACCAGTTGCAGATGTAGTACTGATCCTAAACGCCAGTGCTTTCTTTCCCAAATGCAATGATTCTACCTCCACCATGACTTTGCAACACCAAAACAAGTCCAAGAAATATTGACTCATGCACGGCAACTCAGCAGATTTTGTTTTTCTATCATGACGACGATATAACAAATAATATTTCTCATTGCAGAACATACAGTGCAACTATTTTTGTCTTTGGTAACTTGACATATTGTGATTACTTTGAAAAACATTGTAATATGATGAACTTTTATCTGGTGTTGGCGTTTGGTGCAATTCCTCTTTAAAAGAACCAAATTCAGTTCAGTACCACTGAATTCAATCAAATCCAGTTGAAGTGGCCACTTTCCAGCCTGTTCACACTTTAAAAGAATCAAATTCAAACCTTTTTGACTATCACAAAAAATGAATTAGTAAAAATGAACCCCTCTGCCTTTGCATTCACATTTTACATGCTTTGAAAATGGAGTCAGATCTCTTATTCTCTGTGTCTCAATGTAGATTTTGAGGATGTGCAGTGCTCCATTTTAAAGCATGCAGATATTTTTTATTAATTTAATCAAAGCCTTTTGTGAATATGTCAGATCGCAGATTAATTAGACTGAAATCAGACATAAATGCAGACTTATTTCAATTATTTTCGGAAAATGTTAGATGCACATCAAAGTTCATGTGCACAGGGGCAAGTTTGATTTAACGCTCTCGTTTTCAGTGTATAATAACATCAGGTCACATTCTGAGCTCTCTTTTTCGTCATGGTTCTGATTACTAACCCTAATAAATTGTGAATAAGCTGCACAATTCCTGCTCGAGGAGGCAAAGCGAGGCCAGAGTTCCCCATCCTGAGACGCCCCCTCTTAAGAAAACACTAATTAATTCCTAAAGTCCTCTGTAGCCAAAGGTTTCTGGAATGATAAATATTTTCATAGGAAGCACGGCTCTTCCTGAGTTTATCAGCGCTCGGTTCATTACGGCCCGGCCGACGTTAACCCCTCGGTTTTAGGGTGAGGCTGGAGGCCTTGAACTCCGCTTCTGCTTTGAATTGTCAACCGATCCTCTGCTTCCAGATGGAAGATAACCTCGCTCGTAATGAGCAAAATATTTAGCTAGTGCCCATAGAGGGATTCCCGAAGTCTCGTGATGATAGATTAATGCTTATTAAAGCTATAACGATTGAGCTGATTCTGACGTTAAGTTTGGGTTTTAGGGAGGAATAAATGTGCACCGCTGTGAAGGGAAAGAAGTTGCGCAATACGAAACGCAGCTAGTTTTTAATAGCTTTACCTCATGTCTTCTTTTGTATAATCCTTAGAAGCCCAAATCGAAATAAAAAAATTAAATTAGCTTAATAAACAGCCACAGGCCTAAAGTGTAAGCAGATGTTTAAATGTTTAGTTCTCTCCTCTATCATAATTAAACAGGGCTTTCATGTTGCGCGTGCTGAAGCTCCTCCGCGTGAGAGCGATCTCGCTTCTGAATAATTTAGCCCCGGGACTGATTAAATCCCTACTCGAGATATGTTTTTTTTTTTTCAAAGTTAAACTTGCATTAATTTGACATGGCTTTCTAAACACGCGGCTCTTTTGTGCGAGACGTGAGTGCAAAGGTGATAGATGCCCCTCTAGAAAATGCGCGAAATATCGAAATATGCGTTCTGTGTGAACGGCTTGGTTTCAGTTTTGACGTAAACAAGATCTTCTCCGCATTGATGTTCTCTTTTTCCGCAATATTTTTAATGAACAACGCAGCAGCGCCGCATCTATTTGCTTCAGCTGGACAGGATAACAAATACATTATAACGCAACGACACTTACATCGTCATCGCATCTTGTGTGCCACTGATAAGGCTGCCTCCTTAACGCACACCTAAAATGTGGATTTTTATTTTAAATTCGACGACTATTCGAAATTCGAAAAAATAAATTGACAGCCCTAAAATGTATGAAAAGCCTATAATGCAAATATAGGAAAAGAAGCTTTCTGAACAAACATGAATTTTAGTAGTGCAACATTCTTAATAACACTAATAGCAACAAGGCAAGCATCACTACTATTATTGATCATACTTGGAGAAAAATTTGCTCTGAAATTCTTGTCGGTCTTTTCCCAAAACAACTTTTGATTTGAGTATACAGGAATGCTTTAGCAGCACAGTTACGGTCAGAGGCCCGACGACAGCGAGCTGAACTTCACATAAACTCCTCGCTTTGATCAGACGACGCTCTAACAGTCTTTGATTACAACCAAACTTCCTTTTGTAAAGCGAAGAAACTGGTGTGGTCAAATGTTGAATGTTTTGGGTGATTTGCATTACTTTCGAAGGTTTAAACACTGATTGTTGATCATATTTGGCTTTCCAGACAATAAATATCAGAATTTTAAAATTGTGATCTGGAGGTCCTTTCTATAGTGAGTATTATTATTTTATGAACTGTATATAGAAAAACAAGATCAAAAGGTATATATAAAACACTAAGATCAAAAACAATTTCTTTTGTGGTTTCTGTGTACCTGTGTCACGTTACTGGGGTGTTGCTATGGAGTAGCTATGGTGATCTAGGTGGTTGCTAGGTGGTTGCTTACTGCTGTAAGTGAAAAGTCTCTGATATTTTCATCTTGGGCCCAACTTCATTGTAAGTCTGTGGGATTTTCCACATCATTTAATTTGTTTAGATCATTAATCAAAGATATGATCAACACTAATAGTGATGCTTGACTTAACAAATGAGAGAATATAGCGTGGAGATATTCTGTATGTTAATGTTTCAGTCTGTCACACACACACACACACACACCCACACACACCCTCACACCTGTGCTGTAGCTCTGATTTCAGCAACACACACACACACACACACCCTCACACCTGTGCTGTAGCTCTGATTTCAGCAACACACACACACACACACACCCTCACACCTGTGCTGTAGCTCTGATTTCAGCAACACACACACACACACACACCCTCACACCTGTGCTGTAGCTCTGATTTCAGCAACACACACACACACACACACCCTCACACCTGTGCTGTAGCTCTGATTTCAGCAACACACACACACACACACACCCTCACACCTGTGCTGTAGCTCTGATTAATTTGTTTAGATCATTAACCAAAGATATGATCAACACTAATAGTGATGCTTGACTTAACAAATGAGAGAATATAGCGTGGAGAGATTCTGTATG